TCCATATTCCATTACCAAAGTTGTTGCTGTAACCATCATCGTCAAGTAAGCCTACGGAGATCAAATTAAGTCTCATATCTGGAACATGTTTTACATTATGTAAAACCAACTCTATCCCAGTGTCAAACTTCAAACAAATATCTCCGATGCCTGCAATCTTTGATAGTCCATTATTACCCATCCTAACATTACCAAAGTTACCTGGAGTGTAGGATGAATAAAAATCCCTCTGTGATGTTACATGACACGTAGCACCACTATCAACAACCCAACTGGAATCATCATGTGCAATGTTGACCATATCAAGATCAGAACAAATAAGGAACTCATCGGTAGTAGTGTTAACTTCAGCATTGCCATTACCACCCTTATCTTTCTTATGGTTCTTTTGATTGTTGTAATCGCTCTTCTTCTTCTCCCTTTTCAACTGTCTGCAGAACCGTATTGTGTGCCCTTTTCTACCACAGTGATAGCACTCAAAATCAGCAAACTTTCCTTTGGATTTACTTCGGTGTTTCCCTTTGTTACCTGGACCTCTACTCTGACTTCTCCCCCTGCTTTCTGTAACTAAGACATCTGAATGTGAAGAGGAACCCTGTGACTTTCTTCTCATCTCTTCATTCAAAATACTGCCTTTAGCTAATTCCATGGTGATAATACCATCTGGTGCAGAGTTGGACAATGATGTCCTAAAAGTCTCCCATGAGTCCGGTAAAGTGCCAAGGAGCCACAAGCCCTGTATCTCATCTTCAAACTTGATACCCATTCCTGCAAGTTGATTTATGATTCCCTGAAAAGAGTTCAAATGATCAGTGACAGGAGTTCCATCATGGTATTTCAAGCTCATCATCTGTTTTATCAAGAACAATTTATTGTTCCCTGTCTTTCGAGCATACAACTGTTCAAGCTTGTTCCACAAACTGCGAGCATGAGTTTCCCCGCTAATATGGTTCAAAACATTATCATCAACCCATTGGCGAATATACCCACAAACCTGTCTATGCAAAATAGTCCACTCTGCATCTGTTTTACTCTCAGGTTTGTCAGTAGTAAACACAGGCAAATAATAATCCTTCACATAAAGTAGGTCTTCCATTTTGCCTTTCCAAACATGATAATTGGAACCATTCAAATTGATCATCCTACTTGTGTTTGCTTCCATCATTCAAACAAGTTTAACCCAATACAGAAGAACCTGGCTCTGATACCAATTTGATGGGAAAAATAGCCACAAACGGAACTAATAAAATGCGGAATTAATCTCTGTTTGGCTAAACTTTCCCTAACTTGAATGAATCTTTGAGGATGCAAACAAATAGGGTGTTCTTAATTCAATTAGAACACACACAAGTTGCTGCCACACACTCATATAATGAGCTAAAACAGTAAGCACACACACCACACAAACACCGGAATTTTAGCGTGGAAAACCCGTTAACTAGGGAAAAACCATGGGACCATTTTGGCCGCTTAAATCCACTATCATCATCAAAGGAGCAGTACAAAGTCTTCTCTAGATAATACTAGAGGCATACAATATCATCATATCCTTGGAAGTAACAACATCAAGGTGTATGGAAACAAATAGAGCCAAGATAGGAAATATATCACCAAACAAATAGCTACTGCCAGACCAACGCAAACCCGACCTCCGGACCTCAGAACCCGATCTCCACCGTTCAGAATGTTGGCCCAGATGCTGTGAAGCTGCTGTCCAAAAATCACGACGATCCAACGGTTCAATCTCCGGGAAACGGCACTTTTCCGCTGCTGCCTGCTGGAAAAACGAGATGAGCATTTCAGCTCATGTTTTTGTGATTTTTCTCTCTTATCTACTGCTCTCTTTCTGTCCATTGAATCTTCAGATAGTGGCAGACCCCTTTTTGTTATTAGCTCCCAAAAATAGAAAGTCAAAGAAGACTTTTAATGGGCTTAAGAGTTGGGCTTTTCTCATGGGTCAAAAATAAAGAAAGAACCCAACAGGGCGGACCGTAGTATAGACTCAGGGGGCAGTCGCTCTCGCAACAAAAAAAAAATTAATGTATATATATACCAAAAAATGTGAATAGTATAAGAAGTTCAACGTTGCAATTAAAAAAGAACGGAGACGATATATGCCTGAGATTCTTTCATTGGGGGGTGGGGTATTACAATTTGCATTCCAGTTTAGTAATTACGGGTAGATTTTACAGAATTGGTACCACTAACCCAAATTAACCAAACACGGCATCACGTTTTCTGACTCTGATTTTAGCAAAATGCACCTTCTCGGCGTTGGAGTCGTAAACTCAATAATGCAGTAAAACTATCGTATGATAAAATTTGATAAATAATACTTCGTAAATAATACTCCCTCCGTCCCATAAAATTCTTCCAAGTTTGACTTGGATCGCAAATTTAGGTAGTGGAATAAAGTAGAAATGTATGGTTCTAGTTGTGTAAGAAAAATGTGAAATGAATGTGAGCCACACAAATAATCAAAAAGGTGAAGTTGGAAGAATTTTCAGGGACATCCCTAAAAGGAAAGTTGGAAGAATTTTCTGGGACGAGGGGAGTACTATCGTATTAGAAATCAAAAGTGAGATGTTTTGAGTAGTGAAGGAATAGTTAGGGTGTTTTTACTTGACTGTTTTCGGTCCCAGATCATACCAGACTAGACCAGTTAGACCAAACCAATTCAGTGCACATCAGATCAGACATGAACATAAACTGGACATTTATCAGACCAATTCATACCAGACTAAATCAGACAAGCAAATTTTGATCCAAGTAGAAACATCCTTAAATGAAACTTAAAATTGGGATAGAGCCATAGAGGTGGTATATACTACGTACAGTAACAAAATGGGTTATCTACTCGGCGAGTACTCGCAACTCAGATTCTGGCCTTGTCGAGTAGCTACCTGACTTTGTCGGCAATGTACTCAGTCTTACTCGGTCTTTTATAAAATTGAAAATCTAGGTTACACAACCTAGGTGAAACGGAGGTCGAGACATCGGCTCTCCTCCTAGAGTTGCGACTACGATATCTCAATAAGTTCTCATCTTCTTTTTTGTTTCTTCCCCTTTCCCCTCCCTCGTTTTGTCTTCTTCCTCCCTCCCGTCCATCTTTACCAGTTGTTATTTTCCGCGTTCTTAAAATACCATCATCTTGATTGTTTAATATTGTTAAGGACATATACGTCGATATAAAGATTTTTTTTACAAGTATGACTATATACTACGTATATTATACCATGTACTTGTAACTTTTAATCAATATCACTATATTGATTGTTTACTATGACACATCATTGATCGACACACACCGACACACATCATCTCATTGCCAATCATGAACTCTAATTAGTTTGTTGAGGTATCTAATGGTGCTGAATATGCGTGCTAATACTACACTTAAGAGAAAATAAGATGATATATGATGGACATGGGGCGAGAACAAAGATCCTACCAGATTATTAGATGCCCGATTATCTTGAAAACATAGAATGTTTATGATTATTGTTGCTACTCCATCATTAGGATTTATATCATTTTATTGATTTCTATGCATATTTAAGACAATTTTAATACTTATATTTTTATAATCATGGGCACCTATATTATTAAATTTAATTAATTAAGTTTAATCCTGAGTAATAGGTCCTACATACTCGCTACTCGCCCCTTGACTGAGTTATGACCGAGTAAGGAGTTAACTACCTGGGTAATAAACCAAAGTTAGTTTTGACCATTGCTGGCCATATCCCTGACTAATGATTGTTTCCCCAAAGTTATTTTTGACCGTAGAACCGATTGGAACCGAACAGTTAACAATATCTAGGAACTGAATTGTTAACAATTAATACCTCATTTGTAGGAACCGAACCGAAGCGGGTTATAACGGTTCGGTTCCTATAAAAAAATGTGCATGGAACCGTTATTAAAAAAAATAATAATAATAATAATATTAGTAGTAGTACCAATAATAATAATAATAATAATAATAATAATAATATAATAGCAATAATAACCACCACAACAATAATAATAAAATAATATAAGATATTGTACATGAGGTTGATATAATACTTTAAAGTTTAAACTACTTTCTACAAAACAAGTTTTGTTCCATCACATAAATTTTATAAATATAAAATAACCCAAATAATCTGTAGTTGATTGCACATATTTTACTTTACTACTTTCATAATGTTTCTAATTATTAGATTTATTATGAATAATAGAATGTAATAACGTTTTTTAATATCTATATAAGCGAACTCAATGCATTTTTTATGTTTTGAAAGACATGATATGAAGTAGGCGTCCTATTCTTGCTACTATGATGACGGGTAATCTTCATGGCTCCCACACTACAACGATTTTTATGTTTTACTCGTATTTATACATTGAAATTTAAATCATCTTTTGTTCTATTAAGTGTTCACAGTTTATTAGTTAAGTTTGATCGAACTTTGATGTTTGAAGTGATTAGAGCTTCAAATAAAATTTTAATACTCGTGTTTTGAATTTTTGACATGTTTATGTTGTTTGTAGAAAGTAAATTATGTGTTAATTTTTAGATGAGAAAAAATTATTCTAGGAACCGATAAAAGGAAGAACCAAATAGTTTACTACCGGTTCGGTTACATAACGGTTCTTGAATTTTTACATAGGAACCGAACCGATTTTATTAGTTAAACTTTTATAACGGTTCCACCCATTTTGAGTAAGAACCGAACTGGTCCCAATCCCAGTTCTTTTTACTTCATGTGATCTTGGTATTCTGCTGGCATTGATGTGTTCCCAAAGGAAAGATGGGTTGGTCAAGCTTGTGCTTTAATTTAACTGTTGATGCAATAGGTAGTTCTCTTTTATTAGGAACTAGTCTCCACTTAATGTGGGGCTATGACACCAAGAACAGGGTATGTGACAAAGGCATACATTTAGATTAACGTTCACTGTCTGAAGCTGTGTGTATGCTTTAGTAACCATCATTGTAATATAACCATCTTCTGCTTCAATTCAATTCTTATTTCAGTATATAACCATCTAGTACTACTAAATAGTTATCACTCATCGGCCAGCATTTGATACTATTGCAAGGCCATTAAAGATGCTGATATATATTTTATATTTGTCAATCTTAATTTTTAATCTCAGAGTTACAAGAATGCTCATTGTTGAGAATAACTACTGAACAAGATTTTCAAGTTTAGCTAAGACATGTGCCACAGATGGCCTTGTAGGCAGGGATTCTCGCATACACCAGTGAACAATAGAAAGGGCTATTTTTGCATCTTTGATAGGATAAACACCCAACAACCTCGGGTCCATTAACATTTGGAACGTGGTCGCCCTATTCCGCACGAGATTTATAGCTTGACAACTTGATAGTTTCCTTCCTGATATTAATTCTAGCAGAAGTATTCCAAATCCATAGACATCAGATGCTTGAGTCCAACATGCTGCCATGAGACAAAAATTTTCTAATTGTTAATGGCTTAAAATTATTTCCGTCATTTGCAATGAAGCCAAAGATTCACTATTTTTTCTCTTGTGAATATAATGGAATAAAGCAAAATTACTCACTTTATTCAACTTTCTGCGCTTCTTTGTTATGAAGAGTGGCGGATTGAAATTTTGAGTATTGGGTGTTCAAATTTTTTCTAACATTAAAACTTTAAACAACAATTATTAATTTACCATAAATTTGCATATACTACGTATATACTCAAAGAATTGTAAAAATTTTAAGTGTTCAAGAGAATACTTTTGATATATAGAGGATCCGCCACTGGTTATGAAGCAACAGTCGGCTCATGTAATTACCGACGCAATTTTCACCATGGGTCATCTGGAAACGGTGCTTTCATACAGGGGTGAGATTACGTACATCCGACCCCCCCTTACCCCACTGTAGGTAAGGGTAGACCCGGGCCAGGCCGGTTCCGGTTCGGGCCTGGGCCCGGCTTTTATTTGGGAAAGGTGGAACTGGAACCGGCCCGGGTAGCCGGTGGTTTCGGGCCAGGCCGGGCCCAAACCGGGCCGGTTCTAGTTCAGGGTTATTTTTTTTTTTTTCTATTGCTTTTGTAATCAACCCCCGACGCCCCACCCCCCCCCCCCAAAAAAACACCCAACCCAACCCGGTAGAATTAAAAAAAAATTGAAAAACCCAAAAAATAAAATAAAATTAGGCCCGAACCGGGCCTAGACCGTCCGGTTCGCGTTTTAGGGGGCCCGAGCCCGCACCGGGAAGTGAGCGGTTTCGGTTGACCCGAACCGGCCCCAAGACCGGGTACCGGGCCGTGCTGGGCTCAAACAATACCGGGCCGGGCCGCCCGGCCCGAGTCCTTCCTTAACTGTAGGTGGGAGTCTTTGCGGCACTGGCCTGGGGTAATGATATGGTAATGATGATGTTACTGATGCAGGATATATTGCTTACTGACTAGTTGTTATAGTTAGTTAAAGATACCTGTATTCAGTTTTAACAAATTAGTTAGCAAAAGGTTGTATATAAACTGAACACATGTACGTATGAACTCATTGAGAAGCAAAATACAATCTCTCTTCCATCTCATCTTCTTATTCCCTCTATTCTCTCTATTTTCCATAGCTATTACATTAAGAACTCAGCTCGGATTGTTCTCCATTTATTTGAAATCCCTGCAGTTCTTGGAAGTTTCTCAAAATCATATTGATTTTCTGAACCTTCATCATTGGTATCAGAGCCAGTTTCCTTGAATCGGCTCGATTCAGAATGGTGCAAACACGTCAAGATTCTAGCAACTCAGACGATCAGTTCAAATTACTGGAACACAAATTTCAGTTATTGGAACTCAATCAACAGAAAACTACTCAACAAATCGAAGTGTTGATTCAGAAGATGAGTGAATTGATACCTCCAAAGAAGAAAGAACCACAAATACATGAGTCTGATGAGGAAGAAAGTGACTCGGATCATGAATTTCCTACAGGAAAAGGTGAGTTTTCACACGATTCTATCAAAATTCTTCCTAAGATAGAATTTGCTCAGTTTGATGGATCCAATGTAAACAACTGGTTAAACAAATGCAAGAGGTATTTCTCATTGTGCAAAATTGCTAATAGCAAGAGAGTAGATATTGCTTCTTTGTATATGGTTGGAAAAGCTGCTGTGTGGTTTGAGGATTATATAACTGGAAAGGATAATGTTACTTGGACCAGATTTACTGTTGATGTCACTACCAGATTTGGTTCAGAATTGAGTACGAAAGTAGTAGGAAGATTTAATAAATTGTTTCAGGCTGGAAGTTTGGAAGAGTATATTGATGATTTTGAAGCATTGAAATCTCAAGTGTTGCACGTTAAACCTCATATGCCTTCTGACTACTTCCTTGACAGTTTCATTGGGGGCTTAAAAGATACTTTAAAACCCTTTGTTCAGGCTTTCCATCCCACAAGTCTGAATTCTGCAATTAAATATGCTAGATTAGGATGAAACAGTTTCAGCTATAAATACTCAACCAAGAACCATGTCAAATACTTATAAACCTTCTCCAGCAACACTCAAACCTCACTTCCCACAACATAACCCAAAACCATTGTTACGTACTCCTACAGGTAATCAACCTAACCCTTCAGCAGTCCAAAGGGACAAATTTTCAGGGAAAACTTCTGTGGCAGAAATGACAGCAAGAAAGGAGAAGGGGTTATGCATGTATTGTGGGGAAATTTATACTCCCGGACATCACCTTAAACACAGAAGAATGGAAATTAGAATGATGGAATTGAATGATGAAGAAGAGGTGAATGTGGAGGAAATAGAAGAAGAACCTGTGGTAGAAGCTGAATTGTCATTCAATGCTATGGCCACCGACAAACAGTTTCATACCATGAGGATTACAGGAAGTTATATGAACAAAGCTTTGCATGTGTTCCTAGATCCTGGTGCCACCCACAACTTTGTAGATGAGAAATGGGTTAACAAGATGGGAATTCCTACTGAAACAACTCAATTAATGGCTGTCAACACAGCAGCAGGAAGAATGTTTGTCAAGTCAATTTGCAAAGGGCTGACTTGGAAAATACAAAACACTGAGTTCACAGCTGACTATTTTGTATTACCATTGGATTTCTGTGATCTTGTGTTGGGTATTCAATGGTTTGTAACTTTGGGACCTATTATTTGGGATTTCTTACATAACAAGATGGAATTTACTTGGAAGGGAAGAAGGCATGTAACACCGTCCCCAAATATATATTTACTTTTAAGTGAATAATGTATTTCAACCCTATGGTATGGTTAAGGAATTTACGATGTTGTGAATTTTTATTAATTCTTTCGCGTAAATAGTAAATGTGCACGTGGGGCCCACACCGGGAGCGGGGGCCACCCGAACTTCCCGAAACCATATATTTTGTTTGTCTTGGTCGAGATAACTTTTATGTAGTGGTGAATAATTTATTTTGGCCATGGGAAGGCCCAGAGTTGACCGATTGGTCAATTGAGGCCCAATTACCAGTATTGGTAATTTAACAGATAACAGCCCGAAAAGAGTTTTGGGGACTTATAAATTAAAATTGGGGAATGTATATTCACTACACATGCCATAAAGTTTGAGAGCACGTAATATATTTTATTAGACCCGATAAAATAAAATATATTTAAAACAGTCCGAAAAATACAACTTTCGGGACCGATTGTACACTTCTGGACAAAAGGGGCTGACCTCCCACATGGGTGGGGGCCAACCCACGAATTTAGCCACCTAAATTAAGTGTTTGGCCGGCTGGTGTGATAAAGGAACATGGGAGAGGTGTGTGAGGTGAGGGAAAAGGCATCAAACAAATGGGGTGGGCCCCCATTCACACTCATTGAACCAAAGAGACAAAAGCACTATCCTCACCCTCTTTCTCCCTCATTTCGGCCAGCCCACACCCAGCATAACCAAGGAAACACTCCAGCCATTTTCTCCATTGTTGAAGGGAGCTCAAACAAGAAGGAAATTCAAGAAAAAGATAGTTAAAGTGCTAAAAGTGTGTAGAAGAGAAGGTAATGATCTTACATTAACTTTCCCTTCATTTTATCTCCTTCCATACGAAATATTTGTAGTATGAGGAACCCAAGGATTTTTCCACATGTTATGAGTGTGGAATAATGGGTTGGAAAGTAGTTCTAAGTCCAAGAACGGACTTAGTAGCCAACCGACAAGTTCACCGGAAAATAACCTTTTAGAGGTTATTTATATTGATTAAGGTGTTATGATGTTAAAACCTTGTTAGGGACTTGATTGAGGTATTTCGAGATCTTTCACAGGGTTGAAAGAGTCGCCGGAGTTGTCGCCGGAGTTAGTCAAAAGTCGCCGGAGTTTCGTCGGAGTTCAACAAAAAGGGGTAGAACTTTATAGCGCCAATTCGAGGTGAGGATGACCGACTATATTTCTTATAATTATTGGGTTAATTTCATAAGATTACCAAAATGAATCAAATGTGTTTGGCATGGATTATTAATGATAAGAAGTGCCTAAATGAAATTAATATTGTTTATAAGTGAAAATGCATAATATACAAATTTATGAATAAATTGTGTATGATCATGTGCTATGAATAAATGGCATGATAGTTGTATTAAACATGAATGTTCATTGGGATAAATATACTTTTATCTCATGTAAGGAAGTCATGGAAGGATAAAAGTGATATTTTGATATTAGAGCCAAACTATATTTAAATGTGGAATTAAATTGATAAGTATGAACTTCTATGAATTGAAGTTGCAAATTGGTTATATTAAGATTAAAGGACTAGTATGGAAATACTAGTCGGGAATGTTAGTTCATTAGTTCTTGGAGTTAATCCCAAGATATTGGAGCTAAGTAACCTTAATGGATATTTTTAGGGTGGACTTATGAACTCAAGTTACATTAGGAGTAGGCCTTAAGGGTTACTCAAAATGGATGGAGCCTAGACTAAGAAATTGTTTAGGATTAGATGACGTGACTATGAGCCGAGCTCTAGCACGTGGTAGTATGACTATGAGCCGAGCTCTAGCAAATGTAGTATGACTATGAGCCGAGCTCTAGCAAAACGTAGTGTGACTATGAGCCGAGCTCTAGCACAAATTAGGATGACTATGAGCCGAGCTCTAGCAAAAATGTAGTATGACTATGAGCCGAGCTCTAGCAAAACGTAGTGTGACTATGAGCCGAGCTCTAGCACAAATTAGTATGACTATGAGTCGAGCTCTAGCATGAAGGAACGTGAATTAATTACAAAGTAATAACATCTTAGATTGAGGGTCTTGGAAATTGAAACTTTGATTATACTTAGTATAGTTGTCATTGTACTTGTCAAATGCTTCCAAGTACTGACCTCCCCTTCACGGGGGAGGCCACCTCACAGTTTCAGGTATGGGATAAAGCTCGCCGCTATCAAAGCCCGTTGCTTGAGAAGCTCGAGGAGAGAAGACATGGTTCGTGCTTCCTCCGTTTCCATTTTAAAACATTTAAATAAATACTCATGGATATTATTTTGAATATTTACTTGGGCTTGTATGCCCATGTTGCCACGTGTGGCTTGAATACTTGTATTAATGTTCCGCTGCGTAATTAAATATTTTACATTATGGTTGTTTATGGATGTACTACGTGTGAATGATATTCCAGACGCCTTGTATAGTATGGATGGGTTAAACTGTGGTTGACCATACGTACTGTACGGCGGATTGTTGACGTGTCCGGATAGGTCCGGGGCGTGACAATTTAATTGGTATCAGAGCCTTAGTCCGTAAACTTCATAATGAAGCTTCAAAATCCATTTTGGAAAATGAATTTGAAAACCATGAGCATAAAGTTTTGTACTTATAGAACTTTTGGTACTTGAATTGCAAGGTCTCTAATTGTTAAGATGGTACCCTTAACAATTGGTATGACAGTGATTTGAGCCAAGAGATGTCTTTAGGTGCCTATCCGTCAATTGACATTTGATACGGGTCTAATGACTCATTCTCAATTTCTTTCAGAAATGGAACCAATTGGAAGAATCACTAGGAGGAACCCGACGGGCCGTGCACCGGGTGGGTCTGAGCGCGATAGCCGGGGGTCCCCTAGGGGATCAAGAGGAAGGGGCCGTGGAGGCCAACAACAAACCGTGAGCGATGGCCACGTCGAGACGGAAAGTGAGACCTATTGGTCTTATGAGGACTCAACCTACCGGCCGGAAACAGAGCCGGTTGAGACCCCTTATGAAGGGGATGATGATGACATAAGCGATGAGGAGGAGAATGGCTCCTTGGCTAGGATTGAAGCACTGCTCCAACAATACCATCGGGAGCGCGAGGAAAGGAGAGAACGCCGGAGGCGCCGAGCGGGACAACCTTCGGGCATGGCTTCGAGAGGAGGGAGCCATGTTGCTTCTAGAGCCCATGTTGCACCACATGGGGTCCAAAGTGATGGAGGTCCGACCATAAGGATCTCAAAGTTTATCAAAGAGGCGAGGGACTTGGGGTGCAAGCCGTTCGATGGGACGGGGGACATCTCAGTTGCCGCGCAATGGATCAGGAGGCTGAACGATGCAGCTCTTGACATGCAACTCACGCCCGATCTCAAACTGAGAATCGCGGTGAGACTACTGGAGGGGACTGCATCCAAGTGGTGGGATGGAGTCAAGGGCAAGTATGCTGGGAACGTCACTTGGGAAGAGTTCAGGCAGGAATTCTTTGCCCAATATTACTCTGAATTTGAAGTCAACGCAAAGGTGAGAGAATATACTCTTCTGACCCAAGGTGGTAACATGACCGTGAAGGAACTGGAGAACAAGTTCAGAGACCTTGCTGACCACATACCGGAGTATTCTTGTGATGAGAACCGCATGGTGAACCGCTTCTGGGAGGCCCTGGACTTGGAGATACGCGATAGGGCAACTCAATTGCCTAACATGACTTTTGCTCAAGTGGTTGGGCAAGGCTTGAAGGGCGAGAAACAATGGGAGGAGAGGAAGAAAAGAGACGCCGAGGAGGCGAAGAAAAGGAAGTGGGAAAGCCATGGCCCCCAAGGTCCTAACAAAAAAGGGAACCATGGGGGAGGAGGGTCGTTTAGAGCACCGGCACCGCCATCCAAGGGAAACCCAGCCCTGAGCGGGCACAACTCGGGCCCACAAGCCTCAACGACGCCCAGGTGCAGGAATTGCAACCAGAGCCACACCGGTAAGTGTCGCGACCCACCGCGGTGCTACCAATGTGGAGATGCGGGGCATATTAAGCCAAATTGCCCTCAACTTGGTGGGAACCGAGGGGCGGGATCGAGTGGCGCTACTATGGCAAGTAGGAACCGAACGGGGGCACCTCATGCTAGTACGGGGCAAGGGGGAGCGAGCACAAGCAATGCACCATCCGTGAATCAGGGGAGGTCTCAAGCGCGGGTGTATGCGATGACCGAGGCTGATGCTCGGGCTAACCCCGACTCCGTTGCGGGTAATCCTTTGTAATGATCGATAAATTACATGTTGTTAAGTTTAAAAAAAATGAATGAAAGCGGGTTGCACGGGTTTGCCGGGGTCGATACCGACCGGCCTCTTAGCAAAAAGTTGCAAAAATAAGCTGCCCAGGGGTAAACCGGCGCCGGGTTTGCCCATAACCGGCGCCGGTCAAGGTTCGGAGGTGCTTAAAATGATTCGAAATCAAATTTTTGGGAAGTGCCGTAGCAAAACCGGCGCCGGTTTTGCCCATAACCGGCGCCGGTCCAGGATCGGGAATGCTTGAAAGATTCTAAAAAAAAATGATTTTTGGGAAAAGCCGAAGCAAAACCGGCGCCGGTTTTGCCCATAACCGGCGCCGGTCTAGGGGAAATGGGTTGGGGCAATTCACCGTGCTCGTAACCAGGGCCGGTTTTACATTTCCGAGGTTGCCGAAGGTCAACCGGCGCCGGTTTTGGCCATAACCGGCGCCGGTCCGGTTCAATTTACTTATATCCGGCCACCCCGAAGGCAAACCGGCGCCGGTCTTGCCTAGAACCGGCGCCGGTCCAGTGTATTTTTACTCGAAAAATTTTCGCTAAGCCACGTTTCGATCCGGTACGTTGGCTAGTGTGTCTTACATGACCTATATATGTAGGAACATTAAAGATCAACGGTAGAAACGCAAGAATTCTCATTGATATCGGAGCACAACGTTCATTCGTGAGTGAAGCGTTTGCCGAAAGTTTAGATATGCCGCTGATAGTAATGACACAACCCTTGTTAGTCTCTACACCGTTGGGAGACGATGTGGAGAGGAAGCACTACTACCCTTCGTGTGAGGTGGAAGTGACGGGTCAACCTTTGACTTGTGACTTTGTACCTTTAAGTATGCTAGAATTCGATGCAATTCTAGGGATGGATTGGCTCGAAAAACATCATGCTCGAGTGGATTGTTATGCCAAGGTTTTGGAACTCAAGGATGCTGAGGGAAACACTCTACGTTTCGAGGGAGATCGGGGAGGATCTCATAGTTGTATAATATCCGTGATGAGAGCACGGAAGATGATGAAGAAGGGATGCCACGCATATCTTGCGTACGTGGTGGACGAGACAAAGAAGGAAGTTGACATCAACAATGTACGTGTCGTGTGCAAGTATCCAGATGTCTTTCCCAAAGATTTGCCGGGACTTCCACCCGACAGAGAGATAGAGTTTGTGATTGAAGTAGAGCCGGGAACCAAACCCATTTCGATTCCTCCTTATCGAATGGCACCGGCCGAGCTTCAAGAGTTGAAGGTTCAGCTTCAAGAGCTATTGGACAACGGGTTCATTAGACCGAGTCATTCACCGTGGGGAGCACTCGTACTCTTCGTAAAGAAGAAAGATGGTACACTAAGAATGTGTATAGACTACCGACAGTTGAACAAGGTCACAATCAAGAACCGGTATCCTTTACCGAGAATTGATGACTTGTTCGACCAACTTCGGGGGGCTACGGTGTTCTCGAAGATTGATTTGAGGTCGGGGTATCATCAGTTGAAGATAAAGGAGAGTGACATACCTAAGAGTGCATTCCGCACTAGATATGGTCACTACGAGTTTATGGTTATGTCATTTGGTCTAACCAATGCACCGGCGGCATTCATGGACATGATGAACCGTGTGTTTAGTGAATACTTAGATCAATTTGTGATAGTATTCATTGACGACATTTTGGTATACTCCAAGAATGAAGAAGAGCATGAAGATCATTTGAGACTCGTACTTGAACGGCTAAGGGAGAAACAACTCTTTGCCAAATTCTCTAAATGCGAGTTTTGGCTCAAAGAGATTGGGTTTCTCGGGCATGTCGTACGTGTCGGGTTCGGGCATTGCGGTAGATAAAGCCAAGATAGAAGCCGTTATGGAATGGGAGAGACCAAAAAATGTGAAAGAAATACGTAGTTTCCTTGGCTTAGCGGGATACTATCGTAAGTTTGTTGAAAAGTTTTCCGTATTGGCGTCGCCATTGACAAAGCTCACGAAGAAAGGGGCCAAGTTCATGTGGGACGACAATTGTGAGAAAGGCTTTCTTGAACTAAAGAAGCGGCTTACGGAAGCACCAGTTCTCGCCCTACCCACACAAGGGATAGGGTACGATATATACAGTGATGCTAGCATCCAAGGGTTTGGATGTGTCCTAATGCAAAACGGTCGGGTGATTGCCTATGCTTCTAGGCAATTGAAGAAGCACGAGGTGAACTACCCTACCCACGATCTGGAGTTGGGAGCGGTAGTGTTTGCACTGAAGATCTGGAGGCATTATCTCTATGGGGAGTCATGTCACATTTTTACCGATCATAAGAGCCTGAAGTATGTATTCACTCAGAAAGAGTTGAATATGAGACAAAGGAGATGGATGGAGTTGATCAAGGACTATGACTTGATCATCGACTACCATCCCGGAAAGGCCAATGTGGTGGCCGATGCACTGAGCAGGAAGAGTACGTCGGGGGCACTACTCACATCTCTACGAACATTGAGGGCACAAGTGGAGGTGTCCACGAGTGGGGTCCTCATTGCCAGGTTCGAGGTTAGGCCTACATTGCTGAGTGAGATCAGTAGATGTCAGGCCACTGATGAAGAATGTCAGAAGATCCGTGAGCAGATCCTTGAGGGGCCCGTTGAGAACTTTCGGGTACGTTGTGGATCGTTGCGCTTACCGCTACACTAAAAGCAATCGCTGATAGTGTAGCACGCCCTTCCCCCTTTTATAGAAGGGGCAAAGCGCCACGCGGTCCGATTGCACCGGCAGGCTGGCAGATTGCTGACCGCAGACCCGCGGCAGGCCCAACAATCTCCCCCCCAGCACCTGCCAGCCTACAACTGAGCAGCATGCTGTTGCCGGGGGTCGAACCCGTGACCTTTGGCTCTGATACCAATTGTTGATCGTTGCGCTTACCGCTACACTAAAAGCAATCGCTGATAGTGTAGCACGCTCTTCCCCCTTTTATAGAACAGGCAAAGCGCCACGCGGTCCGATTGCACCGGCAGGCTGGCAGATTGCTGACCGCAGACCCGCGGTAGGCCCAACATACGTGATGACGGTCTTTTATTATTTAAGGATCGTGTATGCATACCAAAGAGTGAGGAGCTCCGAAAGTCTATACTGGAGGAGGCTCATTCTTCGGCATATGCTATGCATCCAGGAGGTACTAAAATGTACCGAGACTTGAAGGAAAGTTACTGGTGGTCGGGTATGAAGAGGGACATAGCAGAGTACGTGAGTCGATGTCTTACTTGCCAGCAAGTTAAGGCGGAGCATCAGCACCCGGCGGGACTTTTGCAGCCACTTACCATTCCAGAATGGAAGTGGGAGCATGTGACCATGGATTTCGTGGTGGGGCTACCCCGAACAGTGAACAACTATGATGCAGTGTGGGTAGTGGTTGATAGACTTACCAAAAGTGCTCACTTTTTGCCTATTAACATTTCTTATCCTCTTGAAAGATTAGCAAAGTTATACACAGAGGAGATTGTAAGACTACATGGAGTCCCAATATCCATTGTCTCGGATAGGGACCCACGGTTCACATCTCGATTTTGGCCCAAGTTTCAAGCATCTTTGGGTACTAAACTGAAGTTTAGCACAGCTTTTCATCCACAAACGGATGGACAATCTGAGAGGGTGATACAGATATTGGAAGACATGCTTAGGGCATGTGCTCTGGAGTTCCAAGGGAGTTGGGACAAACATTTGGCTCTAGTCGAGTTTGCCTATAACAACAGTTATCAGGCGAGTATTGGCATGCCTCCATATGAGGCATTGTATGGGAGGAAATGCAGAACACCGTTGTGTTGGGACGAGGTTGGCGAGGCCAAACTCGAGGGGATTGAACTTGTTGAAATCACCAAGGCTAAGGTGAAAGTCATTCAGGATAGACTCAAGGCTGCCCAAGATCGGCAGAAGAGTTACGCCGACAGACGACGAATGCCATTGGAGTTCGAGGTCGGTGCTAAGGTCTTCCTAAGGATTTCTCCTTGGAAGGGTATCATCCGATTTATATCGAGGGGAAAGCTTAACCCCAGATACATTGGTCCATTTGAAATCCTTGAAAGGATTGGGGCGGTGGCTTACCGTCTCAAGTTGACGCAAGAACTTGAGAAGATACACGAAGTGTTCCATGTATCAATGCTCAAGAAATATGTGAGAGATCCGTCTCATATTCTTGAGAAGCCACCGGTGGAGATACGTGAAGATCTACAATATGCGGTGGAACCGGTAAAGATTGTGGGTCAACAGGTGAAGAAACTGAGGAACAAGGAGATTCCTATGGTAAAGGTCCTTTGGAGGAGTGATCGAGTCGAAGAAGAAACTTGGGAGACCGAGATCTCAATGAGGGAGCAATACTCGTTTCTTTTCGATTAGACACGTGGATTTCGGGGACGAAATCCCAAATTAAGGGGGGTGAACTTGTAACACCGTCCCCAAATATATATTTACTTTTAAGTGAATAATGTATTTCAACCCTATGGTATGGTTAAGGAATTTACGATGTTGTGAATTTTTATTAATTCTTTCGCGTAAATAGTAAATTTGCACGTGGGGCCCACACCAGGAGCGGGGGCCGCCCGAACTTCCCGAAACCATATATTTTGTTTGTCTTGGTCGAGATAACTTTTATGTAGTGGTGAATAATTTATTTTGGCCATGGGAAGGCCCAGAGTTGACCGATTGGTCAATTGAGGCCCAATTACCAGTATTGGTAATTTAACAGATAACAGCCCGAAAAGAGTTTTGGGGACTTATAAATTAAAATTGGGGAATGTATATTCACTACACATGCCATAAAGTTTGAGAGCACGTAATATATTTTATTAGACCCGATAAAATAAAATATATTTAAAACAGTCCGAAAAATACAACTTTCGGGACCGATTGTACACTTCTGGACAAAAAGGGCTGACCTCCCACATGGGTGGGGGCCAACCCACGAATTTAGCCACCTAAATTAAGTGTTTGGCCGGCTGGTGTGATAAAGGAACATGGGAGAGGTGTGTGAGGTGAGGGAAAAGGCATCAAACAAATGGGGTGGGCCCCCATTCACACTCATTGAACCAAAGAGACAAAAGCACTATCCTCACCCTCTTTCTCCCTCATTTCGGCCAGCCCACACCCAGCATAACCAAGGAAACACTCCAGCCATTTTCTCCATTGTTGAAGGGAGCTCAAACAAGAAGGAAATTCAAGAAAAAGATAGTTAAAGTGCTAAAAGTGTGTAGAAGAGAAGGTAATGATCTTACATTAACTTTCCCTTCATTTTATCTCCTTCCATACGAAATATTTGTAGTATGAGGAACCCAAGGATTTTTCCACATGTTATGAGTGTGGAATAATGGGTTGGAAAGTAGTTCTAAGTCCAAGAACGGACTTAGTAGCCAACCGACAAGTTCACCGGAAAATAACCTTTTAGAGGTTATTTATATTGATTAAGGTGTTATGATGTTAAAACCTTGTTAGGGACTTGATTGAGGTATTTCGAGATCTTTCACAAGGTTGAAAGAGTCGCCGGAGTTGTCGCCGGAGTTAGTCAAAAGTCGCCGGAGTTTCGTCGGAGTTCAACAAAAAGGGGTAGAACTTTATAGCGCCAATTCGAGGTGAGGATGACCGACTATATTTCTTATAATTATTGGGTTAATTTCATAAGATTACCAAAATGAATCAAATGTGTTTGGCATGGATTATTAATGATAAGAAGTGCCTAAATGAAATTAATATTGTTTATAAGTGAAAATGCATAATATACAAATTTATGAATAAATTGTGTATGATCATGTGCTATGAATAAATGGCATGATAGTTGTATTAAACATGAATGTTCATTGGGATAAATATACTTTTATCTCATGTAAGGAAGTCATGGAAGGATAAAAGTGATATTTTGATATTAGAGCCAAACTATATTTAAATGTGGAATTAAATTGATAAGTATGAACTTCTATGAATTGAAGTTGCAAATTGGTTATATTAAGATTAAAGGACTAGTATGGAAATACTAGTCGGGAATGTTAGTTCATTAGTTCTTGGAGTTAATCCCAAGATATTGGAGCTAAGTAACCTTAATGGATATTTTTAGGGTGGACTTATGAACTCAAGTTACATTAGGAGTAGGCCTTAAGGGTTACTCAAAATGGATGGAGCCTAGACTAAGAAATTGTTTAGGATTAGATGACGTGACTATGAGCCGAGCTCTAGCACGTGGTAGTATGACTATGAGCCGAGCTCTAGCAAATGTAGTATGACTATGAGCCGAGCTCTAGCAAAACGTAGTGTGACTATGAGCCGAGCTCTAGCACAAATTAGGATGACTATGAGCCGAGCTCTAGCAAAAATGTAGTATGACTATGAGCCGAGCTCTAGCAAAACGTAGTGTGACTATGAGCCGAGCTCTAGCACAAATTAGTATGACTATGAGTCGAGCTCTAGCATGAAGGAACGTGAATTAATTACAAAGTAATAACATCTTAGATTGAGGGTCTTGGAAATTGAAACTTTGATTATACTTAGTATAGTTGTCATTGTACTTGTCAAATGCTTCCAAGTACTGACCTCCCCTTCACGGGGGAGGCCACCTCACAGTTTCAGGTATGGGATAAAGCTCGCCGCTATCAAAGCCCGTTGCTTGAGAAGCTCGAGGAGAGAAGACATGGTTCGTGCTTCCTCCGTTTCCATTTTAAAACATTTAAATAAATACTCATGGATATTATTTTGAATATTTACTTGGGCTTGTATGCCCATGTTGCCACGTGTGGCTTGAATACTTGTATTAATGTTCCGCTGCGTAATTAAATATTTTACATTATGGTTGTTTATGGATGTACTACGTGTGAATGATATTCCAGACGCCTTGTATAGTATGGATGGGTTAAACTGTGGTTGACCATACGTACTGTACGGCGGATTGTTGACGTGTCCGGATAGGTCCGGGGCGTGACAAGGCATGTCTTGAGAGGAAGGGAAAGTAATGACGTGAGAATTACCAAGTCTGCTCAACTAAATAAACTTGATCTACATGAATGCACATTAGCATTCTTACAGCTCATTCCAAAAGCAGAAAACACTGAACTGGTACACTCTTCCCTGTATTCAATTTCCAGTAATAATTTCCTACCTCCGGAAATTAAGGATATTTTGGAGCAATATGATGATCTCTTTAAGGAACCTACAACATTACCACCCAGCAGGTCAGGATTTGATCACAAAATTCCCACCAAACCTGGGTCAGTTCCTATCAATAAGAGACCATATAGATACCCCAAGTTACAGAAAGATGTCATTGAGAAACTGGTGAAAGAAATGCTAGAACATGGCATCATCCAAAACAGTTCTAGTCCTTACAGTGCACCTGTGGTACTAGTAGGGAAGAAAGATGGCACTCAGAGGCTATGCATTGACTATAGAGAGCTCAACAATCAAACAGTGAAAGACAAATTTCCTATTCCTTTATTAGAAGATTTGTTGGATGAGTTGGGAGGAGCAGTGATCTTTTCTAAACTAGACTTGAGAGCAGGATATCATCAAATCAGAATGCATAAGGAGGACATTTATAAAACTGCTTTCAAGACACACCATGGCCACTATGAGTTTTTAGTAATGCCTTTTGGGCTAACTAATGCTCCAGCAACCTTTCAAGGACTCATGAATCATATTTTTAAGGAATTTCTTAGGAAATTTGTCTTGGTATTCTTCAATGACATCTTGGTATATAGTAAATCCCTGCAAGAACATGTGCAACATTTGAGACAGGTATTTGAAGTCTTACAGCAGAACATATTATACTTAAAGGCTAGCAAGTGTACATTTGCTTCTCAGAAAGTGGAATATTTAGGCCACTTTATTTCTGCTGAAGGAGTTGAGACTGATCCTTCAAAGATTCAAGCTGTACAGAATTGGCCTAAACCTACTAATCTCAAACAGTTAAGAGGGTTTTTAGGCTTATCTGGATATTATAGAAGATTCATCAAGAATTATGGCTCTATTGCTCGACCCCTTACTGAATTACTAAAGAAAGATCAGTTCAAATGGGAGGAAGAAGCTCAGATAGCTTTTGAGGAATTGAAGAATGCCTTATGCACATCTCCTGTATTGTTACTTCCTGATTTCAATCAAACTTTTGTGGTTGAGACAGATGCATCAGGCTGTGGAATAGGAGCAGTTTTGATGCAAAATGGGCATCCTTTGGCTTATATAAGCAAAGGCCTCAGTGACAGAAACAAACTCAAATCTGTATATGAAAGAGAGATGATGGCAGTATTGTTTGCTATTAGAAAGTGGAGTTCTTACTTAACAGGAAAGCATTTTATTATTAAGACTGATCAGAAAAGCATTAAGTACCTGTTAGAGCAAAAAATTACAACCCCAGCGCAACAAGATCTTTTGGCAAAACTCATGGGTTATGATTTTGAAATTCAGTACAAGAAAGGGCAAGAAAACAAGGCTGCAGATGCTCTTTCTAGAATGCAGAGTATTGATATATATTGTGCTGTTGTGAATTCAATAAATGATAATTTGTTTGATAAGGTGGCAGCATCATGGAACTCAGATCCCAACCTAGCACAACTCATCCTAGAAAAACAGCATGACCCTAACTCTCACCCTCAATACTCTTGGGCCCAGGGTCAGTTAAGAAGAAAAGGCAAGTTAGTGGTGGGAAATGACCCTACACTCAAAAGGCAGATCTTACATTGGATGCATGATTCACCATTGGGAGGTCATTCAGGGAGAGAAGCAACTCTGCAAAGAATCAAAGGTATCTTCTTTTGGAAAGGTATGCATAAGGAAGTACAACATTACATAAGAGCTTGTGTTGTTTGTCAACAGTGTAAATACGACAATTCAGCTTCCCCGGGATTAATACAGCCCTTACCTATACCTGAAAGGGTGTGGTCATCTATTTCTATGGATTTTATTGAGGGTTTACCACCTTCAAAAGGAAAGAATGTCATTTTTGTGGTAGTGGATAGATTGAGCAAATCAGCACACTTCTTGTCTCTATCCCATCCATATACTGCTGCATCAGTGGCTAGAGTTTTTATGGATCATGTCTTCAAACTCCATGGAATGCCTGATAATATAGTCAGTGATAGAGACCCAGTGTTTCTCAGCAATTTCTGGAATGAGCTGTTTCGAATTCATGGAGTGGATTTGTTAAAATCCAGTAGCTATCATCCTCAAACGGATGGTAAAACTGAAGTAGTTAATAGATGCTTGGAAACTTATCTCCGATGTTTCTGTCATGATAAGCAGCATACTTGGGCAGAATGGTTATCTTTAGCTGAATGGTGGTATAATACTACTCACCATTCTTCTACCAACTCCAGTCCTTATGAAATTCTATATGGACAGCCACCTCCAATTCACTTACCTTATTTGCCTGGAGAGTCAACTAATGTACTAGTTGATAGAAGTATGCAAAGAAGAGAGGAGGTGATCAAACTCTTGAAGTTTCAATTGTTAAAAGCTCAACACCGGATGATACAAATGGCTAATAAAAACAGAAGTGATAGAAGTTTTCAGGTTGGTGACATGGTTTATCTGAAGCTTCAACCATATAGACAGACTTCAGTAGGGGATACTGGAAGTAACAAGCTAAATCTCAAGTATTATGGGCCATATAGAGTTGCTGCTAAAATTGGGGTTGTGGCTTATCAGTTGGATCTGCCTAATAATGCAAAAATACACAATGTCTTCCATGTATCTCAACTTAAAAAGTGCATTGGTACACAATATGGAATTGAAGCTTTACCTGACTTTATGCTTTCACATGCTGACAAAAAAGAACCCGATTTTATTGTTGACAGAGGGTTGATAAAAAGGGGTAATGCTGCAGCTGTCAGGTTGTTGATCAAATGGAAGAATGAACCATTGGAAGATGCTACATGGATGCTTTATGATGACTTTGTTAGAGCTTATCCAGATTTTAACCTTTGAGGACAAAGGTCTTTTTGCAGGGGAGATTTGATGCAGGATATATTGCTTACTGACTAGTTGTTATAGTTAGTTAAAGATACCTGTATTCAGTTTTAACAAATTAGTTAGCAAAAGGTTGTATATAAACTGAACACATGTACGTATGAACTCATTGAGAAGCAAAATACAATCTCTCTTCCATCTCATCTTCTTATTCCCTCTATTCTCTCTATTTTCCATAGCTATTACATTAAGAACTCAGCTCGGATTGTTCTCCATTTATTTGAAATCCCTGCAGTTCTCGGAAGTTTCTCAAAATCATATTGATTTTTTGAACCTTCATCAGTTACGACTTAGAATTATAAAATGTATCCTATAAAGGATTAAAAATAAGTTCGAAGTTCAATGGTATGAGTAAATCCCAAGTTTTATAATAAGAGTTACTATTAATCCTGTTTTTTAATACATCAAAAAGGTTATTTTTAATTCTATACATTAAAGGAAAATCAGTTTTTTGAAAAATGGAACCATAGTCGTCTTATGGGAGAGACCCCTTTAGCTCCTTACTCAGCCACTATGTAGTGTTCCTAACATACACTAAGTTGTCTAAAGATCGAGTGCAAACACCTGGGTTTAAGGCATCATAATGAGTTAAACATGTACTCCGCATCTTTAAAGATGCCTCTCATCATAACTTCAGGCGAATGAAAGGCGCTATTTGGCGACATCACAAATGTACTTTCGGGACTCCGGTCATAGGCATAATTAGACAAGTTGGTGTGGCCAAAATCAGAAAGCTTTGCGTTAAAATCCTGTACAAATTGTCAATGTACAAATAACTAAAAAGAAATTCAGTCCAATGATATAAAATTTTTGAATGTGAATGCAATCATACATAGTCAAGAAGAATATTGGCAGTTTTAAAGTCCTCACAGTAAACCACATTTTCACCTAGACCATGCAAGAAGGATAACCCTCGTGCAACATCGATAGCAATGCGCATCCTTATAGACCACAACATGACTTCAGCTCCTATACATGTACACAAATATTGATTATTGTTAAAGTATTTATCCATGTTTCGGTTAAAATACATTTCCCTACTAGGAATGTGAAAGGAAGAGGATGATCAATTCTAGTCTAGATTAACTATAGAGATATACCGAAGTTAATCAACTTACTTTTGAACAAATGGTTCACTAAACTTCCCCTTGACATGAACTCATAGACCAGAAAACGGTTTTCAGAATCGATGCAATGGCCAATCAATCTTACAAGATTTGTGTGTTGAAGTTGGGCCAAATATTTGGTTCCAGGCTGCATGCAGATTGAAATCTATTGATGAATTATGCTTGAAACGGCTAAATCTATTGAATTGTGAAAATATTATATTTATTCATTTATAAATGAAAAACTATACCAAATTATAGTTGAAATATGAACATATACTATAAGACACTAGAAAGTCCAACCATTTAAAGCCAATTCAGTAAGTAAAATAACTTTAATTTTACTTATTTTGATCATTAATTAGCTATTTAGGGCATGAAATTTTACCAAAACACGGGAATTGTGCGCATCTCTTGCCAAAATACGAGGTTTTCCAAAAAAGCGAGAGTCGGAATTTGGTGATCCGACCAGAAATAGGGTTGCAAATAAAATGTTCACCTCTCCTGTCGGATATGCCACATCCGACTAGAGGTTTTTCTATTTTTTTATTTGTGGCGCAATCATTATTAATAAAGTGAATAATTTTAAATTGTACTCCGTAAAAGTTTATGATTTTAAAAGTTTTTTAAAATTTAGTTTTGAATTCCTATCGGAATTTGTTAATTCCAAATGTAAAATTTTTTAAATTCGAGTAATACGTACCGTGCAATTTTTTTAAAATTAAAAATATGCATTTTGAGTTTTTGAATAAAAAATTGATTACTTTATTTTATTTTTTAATTCATTCCTATTATTAATTAAATTCATAAAATAAAGTACAAATTTTCATTTGTTTAAAATGCAATCTTTGTAATTTTAATGGAAGTGAACAAAACAAATGTAGTTTTCAATGTAATTTATTAATAAGTACATAGTACGCGCATACAATTCTAAATTTAATACTACATCTAACGTTGCTCGCTCGACCCTGACATGTCACCGCCGCCAGTGTTCCAAAACCTCGGTGTGTCTTCAAAAGTGGAAAAATATGCATCTGGCTGTGTAGAGTATTGATAAGAACCATAATACGACGGTGGTTCAAAAAATGTGAAATCTTGATGCGAAGATAATTGAGGGGGCGGTTGTGATTCCTCACCCCCACCTTCATCTTGAGCTGCATCACCCTCTTCCTCATTTCAACCGTCAACTGCATATTCATCTCTATCTTGGATTTTTGGCTTTTACTCTAATTTATGTGAAGAAATTTATCTAAAGAAATTGAACACGTATATACCTGGACTTGGATTTTTGGCTTTTACTCTAATTGGTGCATGTATTTTTTAGATTTTAATTCATTGTGGGAAGTATGATTTCTAAAAAAAACATAGCTAGGTGTTCTGATTGTCGGATTTAGGAATTCCGACAGGAGTAAGATGGAATTATGTGTTTTATGGTTTTAATTCATTGTGGGATGTATAATTTCTTAAAAAAAGAAAAAAATAGGTTCCCCTAGTCGGATTTGCCAATTCCGACAGGAGGTGTGTTCAACGAAAATTTAAGCCTAGCTCCTAGTCGGAACACCCAATTCCGACTCCCGTATTTTGGTAACCTAATTGCAGTTCCCGTATTTTGGCGTGTCAGACCAAAAAGTCCCGCATTTTGGTAATTTCCTCATAAAAAAATACTATGCGTACTGGATTTGTAAGAGAGTTGACTATAAACTTGAAAAGACAAATATGGGGGTTGACAAATGGGCTCTAAATTAAAAACATACTGTCCAATCACGATGAGGTCCGAATCTGCTTGGTGTGAATTTCTTCACAGCCACTTGTATTCCCATGCCTGGTTCGAATGGAGCCAAGGTTTTGTCGTCTAACCAGCCTTTGAAGACGGAACCATAATTACCCATACCGAGAAGGTTATGTGAGCTAAAATTTCTTGTCGCAATTTTAAGCTCACAATAGCTATAACATTTGAGGTCATCATGAATAGGGAATGGAGATTGCTGGAGTAAAGGATCAACCAGACTGTCATTCGCTTCTGGAAAGAATAGATTTTGTGAGGCACACACTTCATGTATAATATTTTTTCTGTTTTGAGTCACTTCTGAGTTGTTACAACAACAAATCTGTTAAGACTCGGGATTCTATTTGAAAAGATTACTCTATAAGAGGAGTACCTTAAAATGCTTTAATGATTCATATTTTAACGGTGTAGGAAATATTTTAATACTCCCCATCATGACTAGATACTTCGCTTGTATTATGACATCATTTTTTCATTATTTCGTCTGTATCACTTTATTTATAGTCATCGACATTTCATAGAGTGTCGATATCGTGATTATAGATCGATTTGGATCTGATACCATGTTAAAATTTGAGATTCTAAATTAAAATGACAATCTAATAGGAGTAACTCAACATCTTAATATAAACTTTAAGAGTTCATATTTTTCCAGTGTAGGAAGACTATTGTGATAAATTTCATTTAAATCTTCTCTGAGGACACTTCTGAATGGATAACTCATTCAATTCATGAAAATCTTAATATATATGAAAATTTATATTGAGACACACCCCAAAAGATATAAATTTGAAATCTATGGATTTTTAATGCGACAAACCCCTTGTGATATAAATTTTAGCGCATTAACCTCATGTGATTAGAAATGCATTAAACTCCTCTATATTAAAATCAATATTTTTTTTGAACGATGTTATGCGCAGAATCCCTATTATGAAAAAAAATTAATTAATGGTTAAATAAAAGATAAATGATTAACATTTGTATATAATTTAGAGATTTCTAAAATTTACTTTCATATTCAACTGTAATATTAAAACAAAGTGATTTGCAAATTTTTAAATATATTCATAAAAGTTGTTCTACGCATTAATAATTACGTAATATAACACAGTGTTTTGACGCAGTTTGTATAAATCACATGAACTAATGCACTCAATTTCTATATGAGGTGGAAGGCATTAAACCCAATAATCTATACTTAAATTGCACACTGAAAAGAGTTGTAAGTAGCAAGATATTCATTACCACACAAATGGTTATGAGGAAGCGCCTCCGGTTTGCCTAAGCGAAGACCCATATGTAGCTGCGGATTCAGAATTGGTAGCTCAGTCCTTAGATCTCCGATATCAGATTTCTACAATTCATTCATCCACATTTACGTGTCTGAGATTCTTTTTATTACAATTTGCGTTCCAATTCTGTATATAATTTCAATAAACGGTACCACTAACCCAAATAAACCAAATGGAACTCCTTTTTTTTAATTGTCCGGCTCTGATTTTAGCAAATTACACTTTATCAAAATGTAGTTCCTAGCTCAAAGTAGCATTCTCGGTGTTGCAGTGAAAAATGCCAAAATGCAGCACGTAAGACTCTAATGTGTGTGGTGTCCAGAGAGGATTAGGTTGCTTTAATTGAAAGAAAGCGACAAACATTGGCATTGCTACATTTCTTAATCAAACATGGGTGCATCACACTCTCGCATTAGTTGAACAAAAATATTGTACCCACTCTTATACCCACTTTTGTAACACCTATGTTTGTGAAGTGTTTTTGATTGAATTGTTATGTTGCATTGGGGTATATCTCACATGATAGAAAGAGGTGTTACAACTTACAAGGAATGTGTCCCATGTGCAATTCCAAACAAAGATTTGGGTTGGAACCGGATTCTCTCGTTAATACTTAATAGTATGTAATTAAATCTTAATTTACATTTTCTCAGATGATTGTTATGATTCAAAGGGTATTCAATGATGAGGTGTCATTTTGTTCATATTTAAGAGTAAATAACCCCAAATAGGACCAAATTATTGGTGAAATTCCCAAATAGGAGTAAGTATAATTTTCTTCCTTAAATAGGACCATTCTTCCAATTATACCCCTCCAACTCATTTCAACCCTTCGGCTCCTCATAACCTTCATCGCATTCATCACTCTCGCAGCGCATAACAGAGCTTCAATGGCAGGGGAGCAGCGAGCAGCAACCAGCAAGCACCGCCGAGAAGCGTCGTCGAGCAGCACCAACGAGCGCCGGAGAGCAAGCGGCATCGAGAGTCAGGTCTCTCTTCCTTTCACCCCTCTGATTTTCAACTTTTTCATTTGGATCTGGTGTGGTTGATGTGTTGCCAAGCCCTGAGTCTTCTCTCTTGATTGCATCCATATTCTCTGATTCATGTTTCTTTTTGGTGAGCTTTCACTGTAATTTTTCTTCTTCTTCCTCATGTTTCTGTTTTGAAATTGCTTTGTCAATAATGGTGAAATAAAACTGGCTTGATTTACTTGTTATTACAATTTCCATTTTTTTAAAATGCCATAAAAATGTCATTTTTATTCTTCAAAATTTTCATATTTTTCTTAGAAAATGCCATTAATATGGCATTCTCCATTAATTTTGGCATTTTCATAAAAAGTTGGCATCAGTGGTGGCATCAGTTAGATTTAGTGCAACAGCGGCCAGATCTGTGGTGGAGGCTGCCGGATTTGAAGTGGCGGCGCTTGGATCTGCAGGGATGGCAGGCGGAGGCCAGATCTGGCCCGATGGAGGCGGCGGTGGCCAGATCTACGGTGGCGGCGATCAGATTAGCAGCCGCGGCTAGTTTTGAGGTTGAGGCGGCGGCCGGCGGCTGGCCGTAGGTGGCTGGAGGTGGCCGGTCTGGCAGTATGTAGACGACAGTCTATTTTGTCAGGATATTTCTGTCAACCTACAAATAATAACTTCTATTTGAGGAATTTTTAAATTTTAATCCTATTTTTTTAAAGGAAAGCTCGCATTATATTAAATCATTAGAAACGGGATCGTTACATCAGACACATAAAGACCACTAACAGCAATTATCCTCCACCTTCAATGAAATTCAACCCTACGAATAGACATAGAAACGATCACCCTCGAAGGAGCAACACGAATCGCTAGACGTGTAGCGGGTTTAAACCAGTTATAACTAACCAAGAAGATTCCCAAACATCTAACAACATAATACTTAGCTGAACTCCCCGTTTCTAAATAAGCCATAACGACTTCAAGAATAAAACTGACAACAAAACAAAACACGAGAAAAGGAAAAACCAAATTGGACTGAAAATAACGAGTTTAAATTTTAATCCTATTTTAGCAATTAAGAGTTTAATTACTCCTATTTAGGTAAATCTCCCTTAATTAATTAACTAATGAGGTTCATTAATTAAATAAATTAAGAAATGAAATGACTAGTTCTATGCCAGGAAAACTCAACAAATGATCCTGGTTTTGAAAAAATGCTATGTTTTAATTATACAAAAAAGTAATTTCTCATACTACTTTAATAACCTATACTTAAGAAGACTGAAGACCAAATGTTTATAGAAAGATATTACCACAGAAATGGTTTCGAGGAAGCTTCTATGGTTCTCCTAGGCGAATACCCATATACTACGTATGTCTTTGTTTCTGGGATTCTTTTTTATTAGGAGTGAGGTTATAACTTATAACAATTTGTGTTCCAGTTTGGAAATTACGACTATAATAATTTAGAGAAAAGTGAGAAATGGTACCACTAATAAATGAGGTAACACGTTTTAATAAATGATTTGTCCGACGACTCTAATTTTAGCAAAAACACTTCGTCAAACTAATCTTCTTGCCACTTTGTTTCTGGGATTCATTAAAGTAATATTCTCGGCATGGGAGTGCAAAATGCAAAATATTAATGGAGCTCTTACTTTCGCCATATATTATTATTCTATTTTTTGGTAATATATGTTCAGAATGAAAGATTAGGCAGTTTTACTTGAAATAGATGACACATTTCCAATTGTAAAAAAAAAGTCGCGTTATATGTTGGAAATTTATTAAAAATGAAGCTAAGTGCATGTCCAACATATATGGAAATTTCCAACATATATGGAAATTTCCATATAAAGGAGTTTAGGAATCTTAATAATCCGATTTGTACTATACGATAGTATTAATTATTCCACTAACATTGGAACATGAAGATGTGGTGCGATTATTAAAAAAAGTGAGTTATGTGGTTGATTTGAATTGATGATAAAATAAAAATGATTTGAAGCGACGACACAGATTTTACTAAAATTAGTATGAAACAATTTTAGCGAGACAAACTGGAAAAAAAATTGTACGTCATGGAGTCTTGTTCTGATTTCAAAGGCAGTTACCCGACCGGGTATATTGGGTCACCCGACCGGGTATGTTGAAGCAGAAACCTGGGAACTCACTGGACGTGAGACCCGACCGGGTCAGGTGACGGACCCGACCGGGTCAGCGAAGGTTTCACCTTCTGTTTTGGATACCCGCCCTGGTATCGACCCGGGTGTGAAATTTGTGAAGAGACCCGACCGGGTCAAGGGGGGGCACCCGACCGGGTCTACGGGATTTTAATTACGGGCCTTGATTTTAATTAGGGCCTGCGGCTCTAATCTCTGTTTAGGTTTTCTTAAACATATTTAAACGACTCTTATGTACTTGTAAACCTCTTGGGACGCTGATAATAATACATTCTCTCTCTCGTTCGCCGTGGACTAGCACAATCAACCCGATTGTGTGAACCACGTTAATTCTTGTGTTCTTGCTCTTAATTTATCGTTTATCTTTGCCTTATCGTAACAACTAAATAATCAAAAAGAAAAGAAAACAACTTTATTTGCTCAAAGCAATTGAGAAGGAATAGAATATTTGTTTCTCTTTTTAGAAGAGGTAGTTGTACCACTATATTTGAACGACTTGTGAGTTGTGATCCATAAGTCTTGAAGAACTATATAGTCTCCACTTATTGTGTAGCTGAAAGCTGCTCTAGTAACCATCATTCTAATGTATATAATCCGTTTTCAGGCCATTAGATTATGATGAGGGTGTTTGGCAATTGGTTGTTGGTTTTTAGATGTTGGCTTGTTGTGTTGGCTGATTCATGACAGCTGATCGATTATGTTGGCTGTAGATCAGACATGCCTTGAAACAAACTTTTATGATCGTTAATGGCTAAGTATTATAAAATTCACCTTATATATATGATCTAATTCCTAAATTTTAAAATCAGTTACTACATATTACTCCTTATTACTTTTATTATACAATAAATGATAATTTGGTTTTTGAAAATCGAACCACAATCTGTAAAAGAGTCTTCTCAAAGTCTAAAATACTTTTACACTGTAGGGTAAAGTGTTTGTATATATACTAAAAAATTAGGTGGGGGGGGGGGGGCATGAAACCCCTTTAATTAGCTCCGTATGATACCTAACACACACGAATAAGGGTTGGTTTGCAACTGCTTTTAAAAAGCACTTCTCAACTTTTGGCTTTAAAAATCACTTATTTTTCCAAACACTACAACTTTTATTTTTCTCAGCTTCCGCGTCAAAAGTCCTTTTACTTTTTCTATTACACAAAAAAACACTTATTTTACCAAACACTACCCACTTTTACTTTTCAAAATCACTTTTTTCTCAAACACTATCAACTTTTATTTAAGCACTTCTCCTCATTTCATTAAAAAAAGCACTTTTTTAAAAGCAGAAGCTGTTGCAAACAGACCCTAAGTGGTCGGGAATGAGTGCCGTGAAAATGACATATGCTCAAAGTAATAGCTGAGAGCTAAATTTAGGGCATTTATAATTAAGATCAAGGACCTATTTGACAACTACTGCAACGGCTGGAATGGCTTAAAAGCTTGAAAAGACTGAATTTGCTGAAGTGAAAGTGTTTGGTAATATATTGACTGAAATGATTGATTGAATATAGAATTACCATAACGGGTATTAGCGTATTTGTGTTATAGAATACGCTATAAAATTATTTGAAGTATATGGATAGGAACTATGCTAGCAAATTATTTTTGCTTGTTTTTTTGGCTGAAAATTACCTCCCCATAGTAATTACCTCCCCATAACAATACAATAATAACTTTCAGCATAAAAAGGAGGTGTTGGCTTGTTTTTTTGGCTGAAAATAAGAATAAGCCATAACAGCCCATTTAATGAACGTTTGGCATTTTTTTTGCATTTTAAGGCTTTACGGCCATTTTTTTATCCTCCAAACGGCCACCAAGTTGAGAAATCAATTTATGAAGGAACCTGTGACTAAGTATTCTAGTGAACGAAATCTATCTTTTGATGTCTCCAACTGTAAGATAAAGACTCAAGTCCACGGTATAACCAAAGTTGGTGTGGCCAAAATCCGAAAGCTTTGCATTGAAATCTTACAAAATTGGATATACGAAGTGTAACTTAAAAAAGAACTTAATTCATCAATCAAATGATATTGAAATTTCCAAAGGTGATGAAAGCTTACATATCGAGTCAAGAAGAATATTGTCAGTCGAAAGGTCCTCACGGTAAACCACATGTTCACCGAGACTGTGCAAGAAGGATAACCCTCGTGCAACACCAACCAAGGTTGTTAAAATCGTAATTTTGCATCGAATCGGAACAATGATTTATAAATCGAATCGTAAAATCGAATCGTAAATCGTAAGATTTTACAAAATAAGTATATAAAATCATAAAAAATATTAAATAGAAAGAAATTCAAAATATAAAATTATTAAGTCGAACCATTATACGTTTAACTTATACAATAATGTCTTACTTAGATACACAAAATAATTAAAAACAAAATAATAATGTTATTAAAACAAAATAATGTTATACTAAGTACAAAGTATATTCAAATAAAAAAAAAGTCACATGAAACTATAAATGATGCTCTAATCAAGTTTCACAACGAATACTGTTTATATGTATGGCAAGACTATATAAATATAATTATGTTTGTTTGAAAAGAATTGAATAAGTAAGTTAATACGTACAGTATATCACAAAGTTGATTGTGGTGAGATGGTGAAAGTGTGAAACGTTGCGATTCAAACAGAGTAGGAGGTTGTAGGTTCGAAACCCTTTGCAGACTATTTTTCTAAAGTCCAAAGTCCCCACACCAGAATAACAAAGCGAATTCCCCCATTCCCTTATCTATATAAGTCGAATCTGGGTAAGCGGAAGCAGGAAGGCTAGCATTTCAATTTGCCTGCCCGGCCAGAGATACTAGGCTGGATTTATTGTGGGCCAAGTCAAATTTTTAAATCGGAAAAATTTGAATCGCGATTTTAACAACCTATATGCATCCTTACCGACCACGACAAGACTTCACCACCTACACACGTACATTGACATCAATTCACAAAGTGGATCAATCAATTGAAAAATTGATTCTAAATCACTATAAACTGTATAAGGTCATATTTCGGACATTAATAAAACTCCTCATACAAACTTA